ATCCCATCATTCTTGCCACTTTCTGGAGCAGTTCTGGAAGTCTGCTTTCTTGAATGTCTCAGTTGCCTTGTGGTGGCTGGCTACATTGTCCTGAATCAATTCAAGACATTTAACTTTCATAGTCACTTTGACTTTGTGGAGAATCCAGAAGTCACATGATGGCGGTTCTGGTGAATAAAGCAGATGAGGACAAATGTTTTTACAAGACTGATTTTCCATTGAATGGCACTGGCCAAGAGCATTCATTGAATTTTGACCACACCTCATAAAGATACTCAACAGAAGAGGACTTCCAAAATTGTATCAGACAGTGGCAAGGAGTATTAATATGTTTAAAGTGAGAGGGAATATTTTGAGAGGGATTAATGGCAATGTATCTTTTTCTGTATTTTTAGAAAAAAATTAAACATTCACCATATATTTTGATCATACCTCATACCATTGTGTCAAAATTTTACTAAAAACAAATTATCCTTGCATATCTGAGAATAATTCTACTTGGTCATGCTGGCTTTTCTTTTTTTTAAATATTTTATTGACTAAAAAATTCTTTTTACTATTAATGGGTTACAGTTCCTAATATGTTATGATTTTGTCCATCTACTTTTATGATATTAAGCTATAATTTTCATTTTGAACTTTTCTTGTCATGTTTTTATATCTAGAAAAATTTGTCATATTTTCTATGGTTTGAAATTTTTATGTATTATACAAAATTATTTGTTAATTGAATATTTATTTGTTCATTGATCTGAATTTTATATCTGTGCATGTGAGAAGAACCAAATGTAATTTTATATAATGGCTTAAAAACCACCACTGTCATAGAGCAAATTTTATGATTCACATTTTCTTAGAAAATTGTACTTATTTTTTACTGTTTTCAATTTATTGCCATTGTTGACAATGTTCTCTTAAACTTTTAAAATCTCAAATATATTTATAGTTATAGCCTTTTCTTTTTTCCTAAAATTGTTATTTCTATATTCTCTTAGTTAATTTAGACTGCTGTAACAAAACACTTGAGCCTTAGTAATTTATGAAGAACAGAAATTTACTTCCTTACAGTTCTGAAGGCTAGGAAATCTAATATAGAGGTGCTGTATCTGACAAAAGCCTTCTTGCTCTATCATAATATGGCAGAAGGAATCCCATGGCAAAGGGGCCAAAAGAGGGCAAAAGAGGGAAAGCAAGAGGGATCCAAGCTTATTTGATGAGAAGCTCACTCCTGTGAGAGTGGCATGAATGAGCAGACCTAATCACTTACTCAGCTCTTGAAAATCCCACCTTGAACAGTGAGGTTCAAGTTCCAAAACATGAAGTTTGGTGGAAACATTCAGACCATACCAATCTGTGTTTCCACACTTTTGGTACTATGCAATAAGTTTATTAAAAATACTTGTCTTGGGGCCGGGGATTTAGCTCAGTGGTGCCACCGCCTGGCTTGCAAGCGCAAGGTCCCGAGTTTGATCCCTGTTATCAAAGAACAAAAAAACAAAAACAAAAACATACTTGTCTTGGAAATGGTCTCTACATTTTCCAATCAATCTTACTAATTTTAGTTCTTACCTATTCTTTTACTGCTTGTTAACATTGAATTTGGTAATTTTCTAATGGATTTATGACTGAGTCCTTAGTACATTTATTTTCAATATTTTATTAAAGACATACCCAGGCCATACATTTTTCTAATGAAGTCACATTTTGGCTCTATTTCATAAGCTTTGGTATTATAGTAGTTTTAGCAATGATTTGTTCTGTGTATGTTATTTTATTGTGACTACTGTCTTTAACTTATTATTTATTTCATAATTCATAGAGGTAAAAGAGATCAAGATAGATTTAATCATCTATAATTATTTCTTTATCATTTGATATCAATTAAATTGCATTATTAGAGAATGTAGTCTGTGCAGTATCAGCTGTCATTTATCATAATACTCTTTACGATCTTGTAGTTAAAATATTTTTCATAAATATTTTATCTTTGCCCTTAGATTAAACTTGTTCATTTTGTCATTCAAATATTTAGCCTTATATTTGACAGAAGTATATCAATTTTGCATTGCAATCTTGTCAATCTTTGCCTTTATATATTTTGAAACTGTATGTGTAGTGCATGCAGTTTTATGATTTTCATAATTTATTGCTGGATAATTTCCATTTGTTATTATGTAGTATAGCTCTCTCTTTCTATTATTTTGTCTTATATCCTATTTTGCCTGATAATAATTTTCTATATTGGCTTTTTATTGTTTTCTGTATTTGCCTGGAGTATAGTTTTTCCGACTTTATTCTAAATCTTTCTGTGAGATTTTGTTTCAGTGTCTCTTGAAACTATGATATAATTGAATTAAAATCTGCCCAATAATCTTTATTTTAATAGATGAGTTTATTAACAATTTTTAGGATTACTGATACCTTTATATTCATTTCCAACAATCTAATTTAGCCTGTCTGGTTTATTATTATTTTTTCTTGGTCTCCTTTTTCTTTCTTCCTCACCTCCATGGGATATACAGAGACTTTTAAATCTCTTTATTTTTCCTAATGCTGGTTTGAAAGCTATAAATTATATCTCCAATATTTTGGTGAGTTTAAATTTTAAACATACATAGGTAACTACAGATTTTGCAAAAAAATCCACACTTACTAGTATTAATTGTTCATTTTGCTAAAGGAAAAAAGGCTTTCCTATGCATCAATCTCTCTTTGAATTTCTCCTTTCAAGTCATTGCTTTCTATATAACTTTAATTTCACCATTCCTTTTTTTTTTAAAAAAAAAATCTTATCTTTTCTTACTTAGTTTACTTTTCTTTTTATGGAACTATTTCCTTTAATAATTCTTTTAAGGAGGTCATTAGCCTTCTTTATCTGGATCTGAGAATGTCTTTATTTTTATCTAGGGCAGGAACGATATATGAACTAAGTGTAACTTTTAGTTGACAGTTATTTCTGTGAGCACATTAAAGATATTACTCCAGTATAATCTAGACTTTCTGTTTTTTCATGAAAGGGTGCAAGCAGTGTAATTTGTCATTCTTTTGTAGCTTTTCCTTCCTTTTATTTTTTCAAGTGAGCACATGGAAAGATTTATGTAACTCATGAATGAAGAAACCAACATGATGGGGATCTGGCTCTAAAAAGATAGGAGAAGCTGAAGTGTTTATATTCACTGGAAAAAATGCTGTGTCTCATATAAAGCTATTTCATGCATAAGAAATGGTTAATATCACAGTTACAGGCAAAGTAACTCTGATGCAGAGAGGATATCTCTACCAGACAGAAACCATTTGTTTGTTTACAGTGAAAAATTCATTTATATTGCTATGGAATAAAAATTATTTGCATAGTCAATACTTTTGTACGTATTGAAGTGTATCCTAAGAGGTTTATAATAGTAAATGAGTAAACACTTTTAGAGAATCAGGAAATCTTTGGACAGTTCTATTAGTTGATGCTGTAGAAAAGGCTAAGAATATAAGCCATCATTTCATCTATTTCCAAGTTCTGAAGATTTTTTCTTAATAGTCCCTCCTTATGTTCATCAGTGATCTCCAGGGATGATTCTTGTCCAGGACAGGCTTGTCATTGAGTTTTGGCTGTCCTCAGAGAGGCAGCAGTCAGTATTAATTACCATGTGTAAACTCTAGTAAGATCATCTAGAGTTATGGTGTTAGACAGTTATGAAGGCTAGAAAAAAAGCTCCATTGAAGAATTTGTAAGAAATGTAGGATTGGGTTTTCAATGATCTCTATCTCCAGAGACCAAATAAAACATTGCTTATATTTGTCCTTCTATTGTGAGGCTAACACCAAACCTGAGAAATTCACCTTCATCAGATTTTTTGAGCAGTACCAAGAAATTTATGTGAATTGTTCTTCTCACAATGTTCCTAAATCTCCTTAGATTCCTCACCTTCTGGGAAATGACCCGTTGTCCTGTGCAAAGGCTGGGATAAACCCTGAAAACTCTAAACAAACATGAGAGCAGTTTCCTTGGATTATGTCCTAGCCATTTGTTCCAGCCACAAAGTAAAACCCTTAGTATTTAATGGTCACCAATTGAGACTTACTCTAAAAGGTGACACTCCATGGTGTCTTTGCTTATGTATTTAAATTCTTCATTCATATTCTGAAGGAAAATATGGTAACTTCTTATTGAATGAATGCAAATAACTATATTATCATTCAAAGAAACAATAAAAATACTTGTTTCTGAATTTTGAGGATTCAGAACAAGATATAAGAGCATAATTACTAAATTAGATTAGATGCAGATCAAGAGGATGCCCCAGTAATTCCTAGATATATAGCTTGAAGGATTGAAACAGCATCTAAAAAAGATACTTGTATACAAATATGCATTGCAGCATTATTCATAATAGCCAAACAATGGAAATAACCTGTGTCTATGAATGAATAAATGGATACACAAAATGTGATATATAGATATAGATATAGATATCCAGGAGAATATTATGAAGGAGAAAAATTCATACGTACAATACAGCATGGATAAACCTTGAAAATATTACATTATGTGAATAGAAACAGTCAGATATTATATGATTCCATTTATATGATATGTCTAGACTAGGTAAACTCATAGAGAGAAAAACTAGAGTAGAGGTGAGTGGAGGAGAGGGGAAAAGCTAGGGAAGGGGAGACTTAATGGGTGCACAGTATCTGTTTAGACTAATGACAACATTTTGGAAATAGATATAGTAATGTTTGCACAGCATGTAAATGTCACTGAATTGTACACTTAAAAATGGCTACAATGTCATGTTTTTTTGCTTTATGTATTTTATAGCCATTATAACAAAAAGAAAAAAGGAAATAGAGCAAGAAGGAAAAGAAAAGGCTTTTTCATGTAGCTATCAGAAAACAGAAGATTAAATCTTCCACCAACCTTATTACAAAATAAATAATCACAATTAGATGAGTTCATTCAGTCTTAATTTACTCTTGATCCATTGGATTTTGACTTATCTCTTAGCTTTCATGAAATTACTTAGTACAGAATTCCAGAGTCTGGAAATTGTGAATCCTTCTGACAATTATCAAAGAGACGTCAGCTCCTAAGTCTAGTCGCTGGGATAGCAATTGTTAAAATACCTGGCAGAGCCATTTTCATGGGACTCGGAGTCTGTTCTTCCTAGCATGTGGCCTAAAGGTGAGTGTTGGCAAGACTAAGAGGGAAGTAGAAGCTCTCTAAGTGAGGACAGAATCGCTGATGATAGTAGAATGGAAAAGAGCAGAATTCTCTATTACAGCAAGATACATACTGTTTTTGTAAAGCTTTGATCAATGTAAATAAAGTAAGACAATTATTACGAGCTATTCTGATAATATTGGGAAATAGACATTTCGGAAGCCTTGAGCAGATAAAATTTCACTGATACTCTTTTATGTTCTAAATGTTTATTTGATTTCAGACTGCTGGTGTTTATGTGTACAAAGGAATAAAATCAGCAAATCTTTCCAAATAAGTACTTGAGACTACTCTATGCCCAGTGGTCTACTTTATATTGCAGTGCTTCATTGACCTGACAAAGGTATCATTTGTGGCTTTATTTTACTCTGTTGAATTTGCTCTGTCAAATTAATTTCTCCTTTTCTGTGCTTATAGAAGAACCAAAATTCTTAAAATCTGTGAAGTCAATAATTTTCATACTTTGGAAGCTTGTGTCTGTTCCTTGTTTTGATGAATGATACAGACCTTTGTAATCTGTGTTAAAAATATAAGATCAAAAATACCCCATCCCTCTCATACTGATACTCACCAGAAAGTTGGTCCATTAATTACAAATTCTTCATATGAATTATGTAGCTCCCTTATGCTATTCTACACCAAAGAGCTTTATTTTAAAGTGTCTGCTTCAGATGACTGCTTCAATGGTCACCTTCATGTAAAAGCAAGGATTTCTATTAGACATGTACAGCTCTTGGATTAGAGAAACAAGATGCTTGATTAAACTCTGACCAAGTTTCTTCCCAAGTTATGTTAGTGCATATTCATTTTGATGAGTTTAATAACAAAGCAGCAAGGATAAGAAAAATAACATAAGTAATCACTCTTTAGAAACCCAGCTATATTAGGTTGCTTCTCCTCATAGAGTGGGATCTTTCTGTGCGATTTTTAGTTTATGCATAGACCCTTGTATCTGGTCACTTCCTCTCTCTAAATTATATCTGCTTAGATACTGGACAGATTCACATGGAAGAAAATGATTAGAAATGAGCATGAGCATCCATGGGCACTGGGTTCAGAAGAGGTAAGAGAATGTTCTTGCAAGAGGTAACATAGCTTTATAGTCTCGGAGAAGTGAGATTGTACAGGTACCAGCTTTGAAACCAAGGCAAGAATCATAGCATCTCCTGTTAACTCTTTCAAAACTATTTGTTTCAAGTCTCTTTTCACTTCTAGGATAATGTTGGATGGTGTTGAGATGGTTCACTGCTAAGATCCTAGCGCTCATATAGTTCCTGGTATGTTGGTACCAATATACATTACTGAAATGATGAGTGGAGAACGGTAAACATTTAAGGGACCTAGTTTCTGGAATTTTAGAAGTCACAGAGCTACATTCCAGAGAAAACAGAGAAAAGATTAAACCTTGTCACAAGGCCAACATAGGGCCATGTGGCTCAGGTTGGCCCTGGATTCTGAGCTGAGCTTGCTTGTAAAGTTCAAATGATTCTGGGCCCTTGAAGTATTAGGCAAATGGTAACTGGGCAAAAGCAATACCTCCAGGGATCCAGCACAACAAAGTGCAGCAATTCCATTGCAATCTCCTTACAGGATGAATGGAGCCATCCCCTAAATTTCATGTTATTTTCCTCCTTTTGTCTAGTGGCTCTGACTTTCTAGTTTTATAATCTGATGGCCATGAGTAGCAGGAAGCTGAAATAACTACACAGAATGTGGTTCAAGGAAGTGTGGATGTACATGAAAAGAATAACAGAGTCAGAGGTGAGGTGAAGAATGTACATCAAGAACAAATAATTCCATCAAAGAGAATTCTAACAAAAAATGAGCTCTTATTTTCATTTTTTTATATAGGACAAATGACTGCTATAAAATTGCTAGAAATGTTTTCCTGTGGCTTGGTTAAAATCTGGTTCTTAAACTTGTAGGCAGTGAAAGGAATTACCTTTTGGTGAGTCTTAAGTGTGTTGCCTTCTGGGGTGGCAGCTGGAGTTTGTGCCCTGCAGGCTCTCCCTGTGTTCTGGAAGTGATGGATTTGTTATATCAAGACAGGAAAGGGACCCAGAGTTCTTGGAAACATCACCATAATTGGAATGAAGATGCTTGAGAATGTTATATTACATTATAGAATAGAAGACTTGTCTTATTTGAGGGAAACATTGGATTTCTATAAAGATTTTTCTAAGAATATTTTTCTTTGGCTGAGCACAAGAAAGAACAATTGGATCTGAAATGAAAGTATGGGCAGGATGACCCTCCTCCTTGTGGGAGGTAAACTATCCACTATGGTAGGGTCCAGAATTGAGCATCCTTAATCTAAAGAGCCAAAATCTGAACTGATCTAAAATTTTCAACTTTTCAAATACCAAAATGAGGCTGGCTACAAATGTCAAGTTTCACAGTTGACCTAATGAAATGGGTCAGAGTCGAAACACAATCATGGTAAAAATTTTGCACAAAATTACCTTTAGGCTATGTGTATATGAAACATAAATGCATTTCATGTTCAGGCTTGAATCCTACTTCTAAGATATCTCATTTTATATATGCTAATAAACCTGAAACACTTCTTGTCCCAAGCATTTTAGATAAAGGCTACTCAACCTATATTCTGTTTGCCATTTATTGCTTCCCAGGTTTTAGTGAAGTTAGTGCTATGCTATATTTATTTTAGCTTTGCTTTAGGGAGTTAAAGGTCCAACCTGTATCCATGCTTGAAATATTGCAGATTGAGTGAGCTATAGTTTTATGGGAAAGAAAAAAATAGGTTTATGGGCAATAATGACATTCAGAAAAGCTTATAGCAGAAGTCTTGAGTGGGAGACACAGTGATCTACAGCACTGGGGTGAACTTGTGGGCACTTAGAGTAACCAGAAGGATCTTGGAAATATCAATAGAAATGAGGAGAAGTCAGGGACTGGATTGTCATTCAGGAGGTGGGCTGGAATTTTGTTCATTGGTCATTAAAGGGAAAGGTGAAACTTTTTGTTTTTGTTTTTGTTTGAGAGAGGGTTTTTGTATGTAGTTCAGGCTTGAACTCATTGGGTAGCTTAGGCTGGCCTTGAACTCTTGGCAATCCTCCTGCTTCAGCCTCCTCAGTGCTGGGATTAGAGACGTGCACCACCACATCTGGCAAATCCATTGTTTTTAATCCATTCTATTCAGTGTAGGTAAATTGCTGATTGGAATATATATTAGCACAATGCTTGTAAAGAAAACTGTATCATATTCATACACTTTGACCTAGTAATTCTGTATTTTATCAAAAATTGTCTTCCAAAGTGATAATAAGTAATTTATTTTCTACTTTTAGATTTACTTTTTACTTTATGAAAATAAAGGACAAGCACATTGTAATTAGACAGAAATCTAGTTTATTCTTTAAGAAATATCAGCTTAAAATTCCCAAGTGCCAAACCTGATGGAATATCCAAAATCCAAAAAATAAAGTGATAAGACCTGGATGTTGCAGGCTGAGTGCCCACAGTGTAGCATGTTAAGTCTCCCTGTTACCCTGCTTCCATGACTGGGTGCGCAAAGGATCAATTAAGGAATGAAAGTGGAAGTGCTTTGAAATCTTCACCTCTGATTCTCCTGAACATTCTGTTTTTTATCCTCTCCTACTTCCTCTCATTTGAATTCTGTCCTCATCCCTTTGCAATTCAGCCCTATTCCGCATCGCCCTCCAGAGAACCTGCCTTTCCCTAGGAATCGGCTTTGCTCCCTGCTGTGCCTTAGAGGGACATCTGACAGGTCTGCGCCCCAGAGCTACTGATTGCCTGCAAAGGCTTAGAATAGTGATTAGCACGGTATCTTTTTATCACTTTTACTCTGATTTCACTGGGTATGTCCTTCACAATTTCAAAATGAAGACATAAAATTAGAAAGTAAAAACCCCATAACTTGTCCAATACCTACATGTACACGAGTGCCCGATAGTAACTATTTTAGTGCTGTGTTATTTTTTTCGGGAAAATCTATCTAGATATATCTTTAAAATTCATGATAGTAAATATGATAAAATGCACTTATTATAACGAGTCAATATATAAGCAGTAATTGAAAAATTAATAAATGATATATTTATACCATAAGAATATATGATATAAATAATGATTATATATTTTCTGTATTATACATAGAATACATTATCAATATCATTAAATATATTGCTAAAATAATAAATCATGCTATACATTGTGTTTTGTTGTTTGTCCTGTACTTAACGCAACCTAGAAAACTTTCGATATCAGCACTCATACAGTATTTCTAATGTTTATGAGGATGCCAGGTATATTTATGGTAACTGTATTTTGAAAGGGGATCTTTTACAATCATGTGGTCCAGTTTATCAGTCTTTACTCTGAAGAAGAGCCACTGAGGAAAGATATTCCCTGCTCTGTTATGTCACCAGGACTCTCGGAGCTGCCACCATAGATTCTGATCATCACCCAGAACAGCCGCTTTCCCCCTTTCTTGCCCATAGCCTCACCCCAGGTCAACCATTTTTTCTGGTTATTATCAGTTTTATACCATATTTCCTTTTCAGACCTTCAAATCAATGGGATCATGAAGTCTTTGGCATTTGTATCCCATTTGTATCCATCTTTTTTTCAGCATAATATTATGGAATTGATCCACGCCATCATGATTATCAGGGTCCAATACCTCTTCAATAAAAAAATAAAATAAAATAAAATAAAATGTGGGTATGCATTTTCCTGTTGATGGCCATTTGGACAGTTTCCTGTTTTGAACTATTAAAAAGAGAGTTACTATGAAGATTCTCCTTACAAGTCCTTTTGTGGCTAAATTTTCATTTCATGTGAGTAAATGCATAGGAGTATAATTGCTAGGCTATTAAGTAGAGTTGTTTAATTCAATAAGAAACTGCCAAACAATCTACCAATGGGTTATATCATTTAGGCTCCAGCCAACAATGAATCAAGTTCTAATTCCACATCCTCCCTGATATTTGGATTGATGTTAGCTAGTCTAGCAGGAGTGTAGTGTGTATTTTTCTATTAATGCTTTTGAACATTTTGTAATGTGTCTAAGATTTTGCCCATTTTAAGTTGCTTTTCTTTTTATTATTGCATTGTTTTTCATATTTTCTGTAAAGTCTTTTATCAAATATGTAATTTGCAAATATTTTCTCTCTTGTGTATTTATTTCATTAATGCTGTATTTTAGTGATCAAAACTTTTTAATTTGATGAAGTACAATTTATAATTTTATAATTTTTTGAGTCCTATATAAACAATCTTTCCCTACATCCACATAATGAGATATTGCTGTTTAATTTGTCTGAAGCTTTAAAATTTAACTGTTTCATTTAAGTCTATGGTCTATGTTAGATAAATATCTGTGTATCATACAAAGTACAGATTGAGGTCTAGATTTTTTTCTCTATAGATGTGCAGTTGTTACAACACTATTTGTTAAAATAAATTTCTTGACTTTTTCCCATCAAATTGCTTAAGTGCCTTCATAAAAATTAATTGGTTATGTAAGTGTAAGTGTAGGACTTATTCTGAATTCTCTGTTCTGTTTAATTGATCAGTTTGCCTTTCCTCCTTATACCAATACCATACAGTTTTTTCTTTTTTTTTTTTTTGGTACCGGGGATCGAACTTGGGTCCTTGCGCTTGCAAGGCAGGCGGGAGAACCATTGAGCTAAATCCCTGGCCTAATACCATACAGTTTTGATTCCTGTATGTCTTGGAATCAAATACTGTAAGTCTCTCAACTTTGTTTTTTCAAGATGTTGTGGCTATTTCAGGTTCTTTGAATGTCTAGTCACATCTTTGAAAAAAAGCCCGCCAATATTGTTATCAATGTTGGTATAACTCCACTGATACAGTTAGGAAGTGATATCTTATTCATGTGAAATTAGTTTATAAACATAGATCTCTTGATTTATTTAAAACTTCTTCAATTTTTTCAGTAGTAGTCTTTAGTTTTCAGTAAAACTATCTTGCACATCTTTTGTTGAATTTGTGCCTAAATATTTTATATTTTTAGATTATATTTTAAATAGTTTAAAATTTTAAAAAATATCTATT